CTTAGAGTAAAATTAACTCTACTTTTGCAAGAAGACTATTAACACCAAAACATTTAACACTTTTGAATTTGCTGTGTACCTGATCACAGGCAGGCCGTAGCTGTTGATAGCCCAGATCTTGTTCCTAATATTCAGCTGACTCCTTAGGACTTGCCTGACCCTCTGCAGGTACTTGGGGGTTGCAGCTTTCTTAGTGGCCTCTTCATGGTTCCTATTCACCTGGGTTCAGGCCTATGCAGAACAGCAGCAGGGAAAGCTCATCTCCTTGGTAGATCCCGCACTTGATGGTGTCTTGTGCTATAGGCTTGAAGTTGGCCTCCAGTGTTGTTTGCCACATCCCCATCAAATTCTTGATGAAGGCTCTCAGGGTCCTGTTGATCTTGTATTGTTCTAGGCATTCCACGACTCAAATGTGGGTCGTTGAGTTATAGGCCTTCTCAATCTGAGCAGTGCACAGGTTGGTCAGTCTGGTCTTGCAGTCTTGGGTGACTGTTCTGTCTACCAGGAACTGGTGTTTTGCTCCTCTGGTATTCCTGCCAACTCCTTTCTGTGCCCCACTCGTGTATTGAGTCATGTGCCTATTCATCTTAGCGCTGTGATGCCTGATAGGGGCTTCCATGTGGTACTGGGGCAGGTTATAGGCCGGTAGTTGGATGGAACCAGTCCCTTCTGGGGGTTCTTGGGGATCAGGACTGAGCAGTTAGCCATTCTGGGTGTGTTTCATCCATTAGCAGCCTGCTCATTTGTGCTACCAGATGCTCATGGAGTGCAGTCAGTTTCCTCAGCCAGTAAACGGTAATTATGTCGAGGACTTGTGGTGTCCAACTTGTCCATAACGGAGAACCTTTTTTGCCACTGTGATGGTTGCTGGACCCTGTTCAGGGAGGTCTGTCTGATCTGCTCTTAGATTCACTAGCCACTGTTATGTGTTGCAGCCTTCTCCCATATGCTCTTCCAGTATTGCGCCATCTCCAGACACAAAAGTTTGGACACACCTTCTTATTTAATGTTTTTCTTAATTTTTACTACTTTCTACTAGAGATGGCATGATAACAATACCACTTTTTTTTATGTCCGATACCGATACCAATATCATATATTTGGATGTCTGCCAATACCAATATGAATCAGATATAGTGTATTTTATAATCAATAAAACTGTCTTTTTTAATATCTTGCTGCATTTTGTAAAAGTTCTGTCATGGCAAATGGGATGAGCCGTGAGGAGAAAATAAATGAGGCAGGCACTTGCTGAGATGTGAAGGTGGTTTATTGTAAAATAAAGCACAAGGTGAAAAATGGCAAAATGGAACTAAAGATAATCTAAGCTGGGAAAAACTAAACTACTAAACAGCAAACATGAACACGAACATGAAGGAGGGTGAGCAGAGGCATATGAAGGTGGATGGCAGGGAAAACACACGGAGAATACTCAGTTAAATCACAGATAGACCAGCGACTAGTACACAAGTAGAAACAACGTAAATACACACAGGAGAACACAGGGAGATTACACACAGGTGGGGAACACAGAAGGAAGTAACTGACAAGACGAGACAGGGGAAGCAAAACTGAATACACTCACATGACACACAGACCTTCACAGTAAAACAGGAAACAAGAAACAGAAACAAGGACGCTGACTTGACGCTGAACTAAACCGTTAAACAGAATAAACTGAAACATAGAAAATAATATTCAAAACAGGATAACAAAAGAATCACAACATAAATCATAATACAGAAGAATACCAAAACATAGGAAACTGAAAATGCTGGGTCAAAATGAACCACAACCCTGACAAGTTCATACTCAAATTTTAAAAAACAAAACACTACTGCTATTCTGGTATACCTGTATGCTAAAAATACACTGCACACAAAATATTTCATAGTTCAGCAATACTGATCAATCTAATAAACCTTTTTCCCAAAGGAAAAAATAAGTTATACCAGCTTACCTCTGGCGTTCAGGGCATAATTGGCCGCTTTTGACGACTTTTGATTTTACCTCTATGTTTCACCTTTAAAAACTGTTTATGTTGCCTTATTTGGTATCATTATTTTCAGCACAAAACCTCTAAGATCTGAAATGTGAGTTATTTTTTCATTTTGACATACTATATTTACACAATTAAAATGTAAATTTAGACAAAAAAATTAAAATCCAAGTAGAAAACAAGTTATATTTTTTACAGTAAAAACCACAAACATGTTTAACGAAGCATTTTCATAACTTACAATGCAAATAGAAATTGTACATTTCTAAAAAATTATGCACACGTTTTACAAACAACAAAGTTATATGGAACTATTTACCTAAAAATGCAGCCAAGGCCTCAGGCGTTTTTTATATAACCATTTAAATCTATTTACAGAACAACCAGGTGTTCTGCATCAAATAAGAAGGCACAAAAATTACTTGTGCCACTCCAAAAAAAATGTTTCTGTCCACTATAAGACAGAGGAGAACACCACTGGCCTAAACCCTGCAGGTCTGTCAACAGGAGCTGTATCAGTCCAGTTTTACATGTGGAGACAGCATTTACACTGGAATTTGCCTTTAGTGCCTTTTTTTGGCGCAAATGTGACATCCATCAGTGTAACTGACACACAAATCAAAACAATGACTACACCACACACTAACTATAGCCTCGCTAAATGTCACTAATGTCTCACAAAAACTCGCTTTCTTTCTTTCTTTCTTTCTTTCTTTCTTTCTTTCTTTCTTTCTTTCTTTCTTTCTTTCTTTCTTTCTTTCTTTCTTTCTTTCTTTCTTTCTTTC